GGTCAACAACTGTCCGCACTAAGCTCGCTAAGCTGGTGAGCGATCAACACAGAGGTGTCTCCATCTCCTCCACCTGTGCGTTTTCTGCCGAGGCAGGAGGAGACGCACAGAAAGAGAGTTGGAGGTAACCAGGAAAACATGGAGTGGATTTTTAGTGGTTTTGAGTATTCTCCTATTAATCAAGTGGAATGGATTTGTTCACGAAGAAAGAGAAACTGCGCAGACAGAACTAATGTTTTATAGTAAAAGTGTGTGTGTGTGTGTGTGTGTGTGTGTGTGTGTGGGGGTGTCCAAATGAACGTTTTTTTTAGTGTGGGGAGGACATGTCCCCTTCACATATAATGGTTGCGACGCCTTTGATCCTTGTCCCCCATCGTGTATCAGAGGGAAATGGGAAATTCCCTCCATCCATCCATCCATCCCTCTGCTCGTGCATGTTGTGAGCATGATAACTTTACAAATAAGTGAGGTACCGACTTCCATTTTGATGCGTGGCTACTGGTGTAAGGAAGGTTCATTTCAAAAATGGGTTTGCCACATTAAAATCTAAGATGGCCGCCACCATCTATATCTGTAAACCAGCCGCTCATTTGAGAAAACTATGCTTTCTAGTTGTTATATTTCTTAAAATGACAGTTTATTGAAATGATTGGTGGGACAAAAGATTAATCTATGGTGGTCAGGGCCTCCATTGGCCACCCTCTGGCTCCTCCACTGTCCTGGTGGTGGATAAAATGCTCCCTCCGCTCTCCAGGATCCGTCACTCTGCGCTGCCTCAGACAACCTCCCTCTGTTCTTCTCCAGTGTAACTCCTCTCCACTTGAACATGTCACACCAAAAACATTTAGGTTTACTGACATTCCTGTTCAAGTCCAGTCTAGAAAAAACACTCATCTCCAGAATCACAAACATTCAGCATCCAAATCCCTCAGCGATGGGAGACATTGGCGTACTGCCCATTATTTAACAGAATACAATAATAATTGCTTTAATTACCGAGCATGCATTTTATAAGTCTTTGAAGAACTTGTAGACTCATGAATAACACATAAAATACACTTCTTTAATAAACAAACTACGCTAACTGGGCTGCGGGAAGCTGGTTCTCTCAGATGCTGTAGCTTCATTTTTCTACTTGGTAATTTGATTTGTGAGGAGTATTGATCTGAAGTATGTGCACACTGACTGGGCTGTTTCCACCACTCAGTCTGCGTCTGCAGGCGTAATGAAAAAACAGGCTTATTTCTCATGTTTGGTCTTTTTGACTCAGTTTTTAATGTGTGTGTGTGTGTGGGGAGTCTAACGTGTTGTTCTGAGTGATACTAAATAAATAATAGAACTTTTTGTAATTGTGCGTCTCCAACTAGATCCCAGATGTCGCAGCTTGGTGAGACGCTGCCTTGAATGATACTTTGTATAACCCTGAGATGGAAACAAACCGTACGTTTGTTTAGTGTATATCTTAGATCCATACACACCATTTCTTTATACACTTTATATTTCTGCTATTGTTGGGTTTAACTGGGACCATGTGTACATAATTTCATTCCACCTCATGTACCACATGTGAAATGACAATAAACGAACTTGAACTTGAACCCGATAAACTGCAGACTCTTTACAGAGGGATGACTGTGTCCTCAAATTCATGTTTACATGTTCTCCATTTGTGCCTGCACACCTTTTTCTTCTTGAGAACTCCAGTTTTCTCACATTGTCCAAAAATATGAGACACGTCATGTCCCCAGCCGGGCCTGATGATAACACAAATACACAAACTACACACAAACTATCAAAGGTGGCAGAGTGAAACTCATCTGAGTCAGCAGCTGTAGGAGGTTTGAGTCCCATGGCTCCATTTTTATATACATCTGCATCATCACTAGATGGAGTGTCACGCACACTTTTCATCACCCCAGCTTCAAGGTCGAGATCAAAAATCAAGGTCAAAGGTTATACAAGGTTGTCGCATGTCCGGGTCATTGCTATAGATC